TCTTGCATCATCCTCAGGAGTGTAATGTTTTGCAAAAAATAACACTTATTTATACAGTTATCAAAACACCAATTTACATATCAAAGAATTTCACGCCATCTGCTGACAACATTTCCATCAGGTCCATCATCCTGAGGATAACACAAGATATACATCGAAACACATAGAGTGTACGAGATTGTTTTCCAGTCACATCGGGGATTTTACCACTTTTTAAACTTGTACAGTAAGTTATTATTTTAGTAATATGGAGACTGCAAACAATCTCGTTTTATTGAATTGTGTATAAAATAATCATTGTTTTTTAAATAAAATTTTTGGTTTTCAAGATAGTAATTGTTTATTTAAAAGCTACCACTACTATTTTTGTTATATTATGAAACTGCACTATATCAACTTTTCTCTGTATAAAAAAACTTCACACAATGATTACTACTGTTTCAAACATTCTCTATATAAAATGCAGTGTGTATTCATACCAGCAGTCATCCACAAGAAAGTGCACAGTGAGACATTCCTACAACTACAAGTCACCTGTTCTGTTTTATTAAATAAAAAAATACTTCCAATAAATATTCTCCTACAAAACTATGCTATCCAGAAATACGATACAATAACTTTCAAAGTATAATATGGTGCTTTATCAATTAAAAGTTCAGTCTTTAATACTGCATAAACAATTGTATAAATTTTGTTATAAGTAGAAACAATTTAAGAAAAATAAAGAACAATTTCAATCAAAATTATATAATAAAACACTAAAAGTGGTATGATATTTCAACAATAAATGGTACAAGAAAAATATGCTTAAAGATAGTTAACAGGAAACTATATTACAGCTACTAACAAACAAACATAAATAAATAAGAATAACCATGCCAGCTACAAAGTTTAAACACAACCTGATGAAAAACAGATATTACTCTAGACACACTCACAAATATAACAGAAGGATTCAACATTCTACATGTTTCTAACCAAAAAACTCACTAACATGCTGTACACAGCTAGATTATTAAAAGTATCTACCTCATAGTCCTTTGACGATATGCAGGAAGAAGACAGAGATGGCCAACAAACAAATGAAAAAAAAACTGTTTACTATTTACATAGTATATATACACACATACACACACAAATTAAAACAGATTTAGAATTGGCCATAATGGTGACCTAAATGCTCTCCAAAATCATCTCAAAACCTCCTTTGCTTGCTACTGCTCTTAGTATAAAACAAGTTTATTATATTTGTTTGCAGAAGCAGAAAGCTCTGCAAAAAGAAAAAGACCATACAAAAGTAGATGTAAAAAAATTAATTTGTTTTGTAAGGTTATGAGTAATCATGGGACAACAGCTAAACTTTATGGCAAAAAGGATCAAAAGAAACAAACAAAAACAGATAGTATGAAAAAGTAGTACATCCATCTATATGTAGAATGCATTGCCATCACCTGGAAAGAGAGACAAGCTCATTATATGTAAAAAGTTATAAATATCAATATTCACACAAAGGACAAGCAAAAGTAGTTTTGAGAAAGTCTTGCTGCAACAAACCAGAGTGCCAATAGAAAATGAAAACATCGTATAGGGATACACTAGGAATAAGGCTAAACACAGATGCTTTATTTCAGTGTCTAACATAGAATTTAGAAAACACAGTTAAGCTCAAATTTTAAATCTTTGTCTTCTAATACACAGCTTATAACTTATAAGAAATATGAAGCTCTGTTAACTCTTTCTTGACTTTAGGGATGTCAGTGATATTCCTGATTTTTTCACTTCTGTGGAAATACTTTTATCAAACAGCATGAAACTCAGTATACACTTAATTCACTAAACGGTATGTTGTTTCTGCTTTAAAAAAATGTTATATGGTATTATCTCTCTCAACATGGGCTCAGTCAATTTGACCAACCACATAACCTCTTTGTACTTGTTTAAAGGTTTTATAGATTTAAAATTCTACATTTCAATATAGTGTGTATATCTTCACAAAATTTGGCAGTCTTTCAGTTAATATTATAAGCCTTTCACATACAAAAAAATCATATTTTTTTACTGAAGTATTTTTAATAAAATAAAGATTTATCCATAAACATATTGAGTATTTGTTTTGAATAGTCTGTGTGCAAAGAAATTTTCATGTTAAAATTAAAAATACTTTTCCTCATCTCAAATTTCCTTTGTGTAATCACCAAAACCTCCTAAATGCATTTCAAACGTTTTTTCTTCAGTAAAACTTTATAGTGTATCTATTATTTTCTCTACCCCATCTCAATACGGGATCGGTCAATTTGACCAACCTCGTATCCACCAAAGAAAAAAAAATATCAAAATAAACCTAAATTACCCTTTTTTATTTCTAGAATG